GGGCGCTTTTTTTGAAGTCATGGCCAACTATGGTTTCCATTTAAAAAAACATGTTTGTGTCATTTGTCAAAAATGACAGGTTTTAGAAAAAAAACGGAGGACACAATCCCATTAAGGATGTAATTATCTACTTTTATCTGAAAACTTTTTGTCTAAAATAGATTATAATGGAATTAGGGACAATTTTTAAAAGAGCCGAAATTTGTTTTTTTTCAAAATACTAAATACTAGTAAGCAATGAACTTTTTAAAAATCTCAAAGGCTCATATTTATGACCCCACAAAACTGCAATTCTTTCACCATTTAACCGACCCTCATATCTCCACTAGTTTTCGAGATACCCATAGAGAACATCGTAGAAAACTCACCCTGTATAAAATAAATAAAATATAATGGAGAAAAAAAATGGCGTCAGTGACGGCTTTGAAATGAAGATCGTTGTCATTTTATATGTAAATTTATATGGAGATTGTTATCGATTGTCATTTCCAAACCAACTAGACGCCGTTTTTTTCATGATTATACAGTACATGCATTTTTTAATTTTCAGTTTTATATTTACGTTTAGATATTGCAGTAATTTCTTTCTTTTCTAGCCTCACTTTTAGTAAATGGTTAAAAATAATGTGAAAATGTATTTCCGTACCTGTTCACCGTCAAAACTAACACAATTCGAAACCACTCAGTGCAAAAACAACCACTCTGCCTCTATATATCCACACACGCGCCAGCGAAGAGAACAATTGCTTTACCTACGGCGAATAAATTCGATTCGTTGATTAAAGTGACATTTTAAAACTGAATTTGGCTCGTCAGCGTACTGCGGTATTTAGAAAATTCGATTTCAAGTGTGTTCGCTGCTAGGCTATGTATGGAACATTAAATTATCAACCGAACAGAGCTGATTTGATATTTACATAAAATACAGGTCCCTACAGGTGAACTGATTGATAAAAATAGCATACAGCATTTTTGTAATATTCACATCCTGAAAAAATAAGGAAAGGTGAATTCAGATTTAATTATTATTTCTGGATTATACAGGGTGTTTCAAAAAACATGTGCCATCTCTCGTGGGCAGATTCTTCACGTAAAAATAAGATTTATTTTTCATATCAACATAGGTCCGATTCTGCTTTGTGTCGTAGCTACAGGGTTTTAAATTCTTAATTCTTAATATTTTTTCGGTTTATTTTAATTTTCTTTCAAGTACTTTTATTGTTTCGAAAATCTGAAGGTAAAAGTTGCTATAAATGCGACATTTTAAAGCTAAAATGTCGACATATTCACCAGAAACGTGCATATGAGTTATCACTGGAATATTATTCTACAAAAAGCATGTACGCCACTGACTTTTTATTCTCTCGTTAGGGAAACAGTGTAAGCAGTTTAATGCCAATTAAATGTTGTCTCTTGATATTTTGTCGATTTTGGCATCCTTTATGAGATAATCGCAATTTTAATAAATTGCCTTAATCCAAGTCTAATAGCAACCTTCAAAAAATATTAATATCATTAACTTGCGAAAGTTTTAAATAAGTACTCATTGATTCCTCATCAAAAAATATTAAAAAAAGTTCCTATGAACATGGGTATGGAAATGCATAGTTTTAGAGTTACAGGATGTTAAAATTTTTTAAATTGTTTTTTTTGTAATTATTTTAAATACAACTATTTTTTATTTTTTTATTAAATTGCTGTATATTGGACTAATAGTAATACTAACTAATAGTAATAATAAATTAGATAAAATATATAATTTATTAATTTTATTTTTATTTGAATTTTATTAATGGTGATTAATAAAATTGCGTTTATTTCATCAAGGAGGCGGAATTCGAGAAAATATCAAGAGATAACTTTCAAATGACATTAAACGGCCTACATAATTTTGATATCAAAAGAAAAAAGTCAGTGGCGCACATGTTTTATTTTTGAAAAATGTTCCAGTGATAACCCATATGCACGTCCCTGATGTATTTATCGACACTTTTTAGCATTAAAATATGTAGCACTTATAGTAACTTTTATTCTCAAAATTTCGTTCGAATCACTAAAAGTACTTGGAAGAAAATTATAATAAACCGAAAAATTATTAAGACTTTAACACCCCGTAGCTACGAAAAAAAGCATAATCGGACCTATATTGATATGAAAAATAAATCTTATTCTTACGTGGGGAATCTCCGCACAAGAGATGGCACATATTTTTTGAAACACCCTGTATAGGGTAAGTCTTAAATAAGTCTAAATATTTTCAGGGCTGGTAGATCTCGATAAAAGAAACATATTTTTTCTTTATCGTTTTTGAAATAAGTGCAAAATAACCGGGTTATTTTACTTTGAAAACTTAAAAAAATATACATTTTGCTTAAATTTTGAGAACCACTAATCTAATACCTATGTTGCCAAAATCAAAAAATTATGTTTTTTAACTATAAACTAACAAAATTTCCAAAAAAAATATTCAAGAAATTCTAAATTTTAAAAACCCTCGTAGACATGTTTGTGGGGTCAAAATATACTGCGCATAATAATATTGGCAAGACTCACCCTGTATATACGTCCACGCGCCTAATTTTAATATAAATTTTAAAAATTGATATACACCTACCACAATAAATAAAGTATCATTAAACTTCTAACTAAATACACTTGCATTCTTTGTAATATAAAAGTGTGATCAAGGCTTGAAAGTCAAAATAAAAATTTCAACAAAAACAAACGCCGCGCCGCGTCGTACGCAGTAAAAATAAGATATTATGACAGTTACCCGAGTCCTTAACGGTATTTAATTTGTACTTTTTCAGTCATATAAACTTGTACTTCTTGTATAAGATATTAAAAACAATGATAATAATTATCTTTTAATTATTCACTGAGACTAATACAATAATATATTTTGATAACCAGTGATTAATCAGTCCAAGTCAAATGAAAAAAAAAAGTTGGTAAGTTTTTCCCAATGATTTATCAAATATTTTGTACAAAATCAATACAAAATTGTGCAACGCACATTACATTCTAAAAAATTAAGAAAAGTGAATCATAGTTTCAGATATTATGTTAAAAAATAAAATAATATTCAGATAGAATTACTACTCTTTATTTCTACTGTTAAAATTAATTTACTTTTAAAACTAAATTAGACACTAGACACACGTTACTTTTACAGACTTTTGAAAAACAAAATTATAGTAGGTAGTACTATATTTAGTAGCGCTTAAAATATTCCATACAAAAGCGTTTTGATTTTTTATCGCTATGACTTTCATTATCTCTAAACATCACTGACTGGCTAAAAGTCTATTCACACATGTCAGTCACGTCAAGGTTCCGTTGCCGTACCGATTCAGATTTATTCAGTAAACACTTGTTACGGCTATTCATACATATTAGTCAGGAACAGTAGTCTGAGTGAGTTATAGCGAGTTTAAAATAAAATAGTATAGTTTAATAATAACCCCTACAAGTGTGCTAATCTCTGCATTAAGTTCATCAGACCAGATTGTAGAGTTTTTTGGCTATAAAAAAATTGTTCTTAAAAACTGAAGGGTCCAAGAGAAAAATCTAATAAGCGCCAATTTATTAATTTTATGATTTTACAATGTTATAGTAGATCTAACTGTGCGGGCCCTAAAAAATGTAAATTCCCACAGCTGCTGGTTACCAGATTCTTTCCGTGTATTCTATATTTTTGCTAGGCATATATCATGGGATTTAACAACTTATTGCCCTGCAGAGTTTATACATTTTGTAGGGTCCAGTTTAACAGCAAAATAAAAACACTAAATCACCACAATACACCAAAACACTTTTACTTTTACACTGGACGCGCGTTTCGCTAACCATGTTAGCATCATCAGCAGATGATTATAAACTAAAGTACAATCTACAAGTTGAGCGTTTATATACTCGCTCAGTAGGCACCGAGTGGGCGTGGCAAAATCTAGCCAACCGATTATAATCATCTGCTGATAATGCTAACATGGTTAGCAAAACGCGCGTCCAGTGTAAAAGTAAAAGTGTTTTGGTGTATTGTGGTGATTTAGTGTTTTTATTTTGCTGTGTAACACCAAAGGTTCCAACCCTCAACTGTAATAAGGGTCCAGTTTAGCCTAGTATAATATTGTAAAATTCTAAAATTAAGAAATTGACGCTCATCAAGTTTTTCCCCTGGACCTTTCAATTATTGTAATGAATGTTGTAAAATTTGTTAGGTCATCATACAAATATTTATTTGATAAAAAAATGTTTTATAGAAAAATATAATTATTAAAGCTATTGCAAATAAGCAAAATGTAGTATCACACGATCTTAAACAGAAGCGGTGACAATGAGTAATAAATTCTAGAATATATGTCAAGGGCGCACTGTATACAGGGTGTCCCAGAAATAAGTGCAAGTATTTTAACTGATAGTATAGTTCAACCTCAGAAACACGCCTATGAGGTTTTTTCGCGGAAAAAAAAAATTGAAAATTCGAAATTTTTTGAAAAATTTTTTGGATTTTTTTTTACTTTTTAGTTAAAAACCACAATTTCTTGATAATATGGCAGCATAGGTATTAGATTAAATTTACAAGAAAGAAAATCCAGAAAAGATCCAGTGGTTCTCAAAATTTGAGCAAAAAAACCTTTTTCTTTAATTTTCAAGTAAAATAACTCCGTTATTTTGGGCATATTTGAAAAACGATAAAGAGAAAATATGTTTCTTTTAGCGAGATTTACCACCCCTTTAAATACTTGCCTTATTTCTGGGACACCCTGTATATTCAAATAACATACTCTATCTACCCAAAGTAATACCAAAACAATAAAGAAATTAATAATGAAATTATTACAAGTAAATCATATTTTTAAATGTTAAACTGGCATTAAAAAACACTATAAGCAAAAAACATACAAAAGTGATTTAAAACTAAGAATATTAAAAACAATGATAGATATTATTTAGATAATATTATGATAAAATATGTTATCGATAAGACTAGGACTTACCTGTGTTCCGAGCAACTTGTCCCAAGAGCAGCACCAAGAGATGATATTGAGTAGCTCCACACCTCTTCACCACAAATCACAGGCCAAAACACAAACTGATGCTGGAAAAGGGCATCCAGAGTAAATACAGCCATGTCGACTAGGCATGCCACAAACCACGGAAGGCCTTAAATCCTTAAGGGGAAAACTAGTGGAAGTGTTATCTGGGGGAGTGCTATCTCCCAGTACATAGACCCTAAAAACACGTGAAATCTTAGACCCTTGTTTAAGAAAACACTATAGACTTACCTCGGAATAATATTCGAGGGCATATCACCTATGATTATTTAAATCCAGCTCATCCTCTATCAGATGTCTTAAAAAACTTGTCGATGCCAACGTGCCAAATACGGGTATCTCGGTAGATTAAGTTGAACCTCAAAACTCTTCCAATCATATATGAAATAGACTAGAAAATATTAAAAACAAATTTAAGAAACATTAAAATATCAATGAACAATATCGTTTCTAGAAGAGGACCAGCTTTTCTTTTTGAAATTCTTAGACATAATCCACTTTTTAACTAACTTGTCTAAATCAAAACTGCAATAATCTGAACTGCTGCAGTACGATGTACGATTCTCTCTATGATCTGCAGTTCAACGTACAGTAGGATAAATCGTTACGTGTGTAAGGCCCTTAAGACTACACATGCCGAGATAGACAACGAAAAATCAAGGGCGGCTACAAAAATACCATTCGCTCCCAGCGTTATCTTAATAATTTACATTATTTATTGCCGGCAACATGAATACTTTACACCGACACGAGTAGACTTCTATGTTTAGGGCCAAGGGGAAAATCAATTCGCCTAAAAATAGAGTTGAACGCCGTATTTACCCCACGGAAAAAAGGGTTAATGTCGTGGCCGGAGTCAGGTCGGGAACTTTTTCTTCAATAGAACTCGGTTTATCAATTAAAGGATTAAGTAAAACCATGGTACAAAGAATACAAGGTATGATCGATAGCGGATCCAATTTCGTTCAGTTCGCGCATACCACCTGTGACGTCACTAGGAAAATAATGAATAAATAAAAAATAAAGAAAGTTGACAGGAGATCTGCATTTTTCAGGTTATGGTTAAGAATTGTTTATTTTTAAGACTTTTTAGTTCGTTTAATTTAATAATTACTAAAACCAGCAGTTCCAAAAATATATTTAAAAATAATAATTATCTATTAACATGGATTTGGACGATAATAGGTAAAAATACTAAATTTATTTCTATATTCGGTATAAAATTGTTTATTAGATTTTTAGTTTGCGATGTTTATGGTAAATAATTTTCATTTTTATTGCCTCTGAATTCACATGAGGACAGAGATGAGGATATCTATGGAAAAGTAACCACAAGAGGAATTGTTACATCATTTAAAAAATGTTGGGAAGTTTATTGTTTCCCATCGAAAAGTAGAAAATGCCAATGCAGATGAACGTATTGTAATTGTGATAGAAGTAATTCCAAGGGTGAAGTTTATTATAATTAGTGGAAGTAATACCAAGGGTGCAGTTTATTATAATTAGTGACCTGTGCTTCTTTTTATATGTAGATGTTTCTGGTTTTGAGAATAAATCGGTTGAACGACGCCCAAAATTTAAAGGAAGTATTTGCATACCCAGAATATGCCCATCAAGGGTTATATAGCTCAAATTTCCTTTAATGGTAGGCAATTATTCAATGCAAATTAACTTTTTAAGTGACTGAAATATTAAATAGTTTACAATATGGTATATCACTAAAAATATATTACTTTTAGGTATAATTAGGGCCCGATACATTTCAAAAAGTAGAATATTATTTTATATTAAATGAGGTATTGTACTAACAATCAATTTATATTAATAACGGAGATTAAAAATAACAGAATAAATAGTTCTTTTTTTATACTACAAAAATAAACTATAGAATACAACAGTATTTAAAAAAATAAATAAAAAGTGATGTTCCGGCCGAGATTCGAACTCCGGTCTCTCTCGCTTCCTAGCCCGACTCCTTATGCACTGCTCCACAGTAACTTGCTTAGCGATAATTCAATGACGGTATATAAACAAAAAAAACAGGTTTATAACAATATCTTGACGATTTGAACTGGCGCGCGGAGCGTGCTGACCAATAGCGCCTGTTATCACCTGTGACGTAGCGACCAACCTGCGCAATATCATACCTTATATTCTTTGTACCATGAAGTAAAACCGTTAAAATATACAAGTGAGCTAAAAGACCTTCCGAAAATACGCATCTAAATTATATTGAAAGAAATGCCAATTATTTTTAGATGATTATCAAAGAAAAATACTCAATGTAAGGGAAAATTTTTCTTTGATGGAAAAAATGGCGTCATAGTAGCCTTTGAAGTAAAAATTTGTTCTGTTGGAGACACCCATATAACATTTTTATTAAAAATTTCAGCTGACTGAAAATTTGAGCGAGACATTTAATTTTTAAAATCAAGACACTCAGAAAAATTAAATTTGTATTAAAATTAAAAAAAATAGAGTCAAAAAAAGTTTGAAACTAAAGCAATCAAAACTCATACGTGCAACTTCGTGTCCAAGTTATTCCTGCTAATTTAGGAGTAGGAGAAATGGAATTTTGTTTTTGAGGGTGTTAACAGTGATTGTTAACATAAACTGGATTTCCGATTTTCACTGTAACATATACACTACCTACTGGATTTAGCTGTCAAACTGCAGAAAAGAACGATATCCGTAATTTAAAATATTTCATTGTTAAAGGATGATAATAAAAATATGATTTGTTCATTATCCTAAAACTACATGAATATAATTTCCTGTTTTCTTACAAACCTCATTACATATTCAGACGGGCCACTTTGTTATTTTAATGAATTGTTTTGCAAATTAGCTGGTCTGAATATTACATAAGGGGGTAAATTAGTGGGAAAGCAGGTCCTACATACATATTCGTATGATGATTGTATTAGTATAAATGATTTAGATTTCTCAAGTTAAAGTGAATTAACTTTTGATTTTTAAATAGCATTAAGTTACCTTGGAATCAATGTTTGATCAAATTTTACCTTTACAATTACCTAAATAAATAATTAAAAGTCGAGTTTATACTACCATTTATACCAATTTAATCCAATAATAGCTAGACTTATTGAATTATTGAATTTGTTTTTTGACAGCTCATGTCATATACGCTTATAGGTTATATTATTTTTGATGCCAACTGCAAATCAGTGACATACTAGTCATTATAAAATAGAAACGAAACGAAAAATATTGAGAAAATACCATATTCAAATCTAGAAAGGTAGGTACTGAAATATACAGAAAATACTTGAAATCAAAATGTAAACAAAAATATAGAGAACAAATCAAGAGAATTGTCAAATTGATTAATTTCAATCGCTCCAGATCGTTCCGTCAATCATCCGTACCAAAAAACTGACAAAAAACCCTCACGTCCCTTCAGTATTAGGCGGTACAAAGTTAGCCGAGTCAGCTAGTATCTAAAACTAACTAAAATATACTCTAGATTACAACTTTTGAAATTTCAACAGAAGCACATATCTTCACCATAAAATACAAAAACCATTGTATCTCCAGATATACACTTTTCTGATAAAATAACTAAACTAATCGTCAATATTATCAAACGACTATAATCAACCATATAAACCTGAAAGATTAGTATAGTACCACAAAAAAATTACTATTAACTTAAAACGGGTTAGCAGTCAGTGAGATCGAAAACTGTGATGGACTGCCCACTGTCCTGGCTGCGTCAAGGTGGCGCTACTCTGTGCTGGGTGTTAGGCCACAACAATGTGATGGACAACCAAGAAGAAGGCAGACTCGCCAAAGAGGGGGCCAGTGGAGAGGCCGTGGCAGATGACCCACCACTTGTGACGATCAACACACTGAAGAAAGCTACAGAAACTATCATCAAGACCAAGCAGCAAGAGACGCAACACTGTGAGGACTACGCTACAGCTCGGAAGTCTGTGTGTAGATAGTGGTAGATAGCAAAAAGGCAAAACAACTACTAGAGCACAACAAGAACCTAGTACGCATAATTGTAGGTGATATCACTAGAAACTGTCCCACGGAGGTAAACCGTTAACGAATGCGAAGAGGAAGAACCAAACCAAACCAAACCACAGAGCAGCTGCTGGGCCACTGTCCGGCACTGAAATACCGACGCTTTAAAACTTTATGGCAATGTTCTTTGAAGGGCCTAGAGGAAGCAGCAGAAGCCAACATCAGCGACATCGGCAATGGATATATTAAATTTATAAAAACAAATATTATTTTTTCATAATATATATTTTTATGATTTACATTTCATTAATTCAAAATTTCCAGATTTATATTTAAGGTAAAACTAAATTTCATTATAATTCCCAAAATAAAGTAAGGTATTGTAATTTTCTTCTCATTTAGTTGAAAAATACTTCTACGTTTTTAATGGCACACTTGTCGTTTGCAGTTGAGGTGTTTTTCTTTAACACGGCAGTATATGGGTCGATATCTGTCTGAAAATTTAATAACATGCATGATAGAGTTGTTAACTGGGCATTATTTCCTTATCGATCATTGTATACGTCATCCTAGGGCATCGTATCGTCGAATCCGTCATCGTGGTGTTGTAATGAATCATGGTAGCGAACGCGGAGATGATCCGGCAGCTCCTCGAAGCTGTGAATCGTCGGGGTGCGTGAATGGGAGGCGGCTGCACGGCGGCGGCGTAGTGGGGCCGCGTGGGCGGCCGAGGCGATGTGGCGGCGGCGGGCGCGTCCTCGCCAGTCGCCCGCCGAAGCCCGCCACATCGAGACGCAGCCCCACGAGCGTCGCAGCGCCCAGCAGCCCCCACCAGAGAGCAACAAGTGCCGTCGCGCGTCCATGGTCCTCCTCCTGCGACGGCGGGATGATCACTTGAGCCTGAGCGCGTAGGGTGCGTGTGTATGCGGCATGAGGGCCGTGCTAGCGGCCGCCGCAGCCGCTGCACTGTGCGTGGTGTGCGTGGTGGCCACGCCGCAGCCCCGCAGAGACTCGCCGTTCCGCGGCTGGCAGAAGCGCCTAGATCAGATGCCGCCGGCGGCTCCCAACTCAGATTATGCCTCAGATTTCCAGCAACACTTGCCGCAAATCTCGGCCGCTAATTCGCAGCTCATGCTGCGATCGCCGCGCGGCCAGCGCCAGTACGATGTCCCCCAAATAGGTAAGACTCTAACAATTCGTTATGTTGTTATACGTTACTTCTTACAGTTAAATTGCTGGTTTGGCACCTGATGCCATTTAGAAACATACTCTGCTTAATCGCGTAATTGGTACGCAATTCTTAAATAATATAAGCAATTTAACTCGGAAGGCAAGCAGAAATTCTCTATCATATTCTATATACATATACAACTTGTATGTTTTGGGATATTTAAGTTACGAAATAATTACTAGTGTTGGCGCCAATATGGTGTCCCATGTCCCCCAAATCGTCAAGACTGAAACAAATCGGTATTGTCTTATAAGTGGCTTCCGGACAGTTAAATTGACGATTTGACTTTGATAGTTATACTATACATATACTGTATAAACTTAGTATGCTGTAAATATTAAGTAATATAAGAATTTTAACTCAGAAGTAAATAACAAATTCCATATCACCGAAATTAATAAATCTTAAATTAACTGCCACTTGTATGTTATAATTACATACTTACTAGTGGTAACGCCAATATGAGGCCTCCCTAATTGATAAGACTGGATATATCCTTTAAAATGTTTCTTCAGGGTTGGATGACATATAACTGACATGTCCACTTTCGGTAAAAGCTCACGGTCACAGTGTACTTGGATCAAATACACTTAGACGCTGTGCGCGTCTTACTTGGATGCTGTTTGGATCGTACCAACCGAGTTAAAATCATACAATCCAAGTGGTGTCCAAGTGAGACGTGTACAGCATCTAAGTGCATTTGATATAAGTATACTTTGACCGTGTCAACCAGGCTTAAGGCTCATATCAGTATCCATTTTATTATAGTCTAAGAGCTAGCCAACATATGAGTCGAATTCATCAAAAACTTTTGTAACTTTCTATACCATTCTTTTCTTCTGCAAAAATCTTTTTCGATAAGATTTTTGGTCTTTTTTTAATCTATACTCATGAAATTCAAGACTGTGCATGGTTCGTCTGACTGGGAAATTTAAAAAAAATATATTGTCGAACAATTGTTTTTCAAATAGTTTAATTAACAAATCATGAAAAAGTCATTTCAATGTCAATAGACCTTCAAAATTCACTAAACTAATATTTCTAGGCTTTGTGAGTCGACATAAATTTGGTTCGATAAAATAAAATTTCAATTTTTCAAAATCGTCGATTTCATAGCTACAGGTGAAAGAAAGAGACCAGACCATTTTCAACATTTTTGGAGAGGAAAATAATGACAGAGTGTCATAAAGAGGCACATAGTCATAATTAAACAACACAAAAAATATGAACTATTCAATAATTACACGCATATGTGAGCTAGCCCCGTATTATTACCTAGCTTGTTATAATCAAATATTTTAAAAACTGGGGCTAAGTTAACAATTAATTTTCTCATATAAATGCATAAATCAAAATCACTCAATAAAATACTTACTACATCCGAATATACTAATATTATCCTCTTTACATCCTCATATATAATTATTATATTAGGATAAAACCATTAATAGAAATCATTGTAAATCTTCTTCTTCAAGTACCGACTCTTAACGGAGCGGAGGTTAGCAATCATCATGGCTATTTTGATTTGATTTGCGGCTGCTATAAATAATCCATTGGACGTCATTCCATACCATTCTCAGAGGTTCTTCATCCAGGTATCATTGTAAATAATTTAGACTAAATAATAATACAAAAAATATAAATATTTTATCACAAATTACAAACTAAAAACAGGTTATCATGACTTTATAATTTACTATACGCAATTTAGAAATATTGTAAAATATGAGGAAAAAATGGAACTTGTAATTTATGGTTCTCCAAATAATAAATTACTATTACACAATAAGTAATTTTTTATCGTCAACTTGTCTGTATCTATATTACTATTGATATATGTTTTTATACAAAATTTGCATTTTTTATGTTTTAAACAAAATTTATTAATTTATTTATATTATTCATCTTTATATTATCATTAAAGTATATTAAAAACTATGAATCTATATTTAAAAGAAACAAAAATTTAGGAGTAAAGTTTAAACAAAACTAGAAAAAATATACGTTTACGTCAAAATTGTATGTGACTTATTACACTTTTTCTAAATGAGATTATGGACAAGCAAAGAAATAAAATAATGTTGAACTTTGAGTTACTATAACAAATAACACGAACAATCCCATAGAGACTATAAAAGAATTGTTCTAACATGAATAGCGTATCGCGAGGGAGATCAAGAGTCGGACAATTACTTCAGGAATTAAAGTAGAAAAAATATATTTATTTGTCGTGAAATAAAGTGTATCAACTTCGAACTTTATGCTGACTACTACAATTATTAATGTATAAATAAATAAAAAAAAAGTCGAGTTAGTTACACCATTTATAAGAAATAGCTTGATCGGTTTTAATGATCTTTGATTTGATAGATTCGTCTTTGCTACGATTAGCTGAATAACTATTAAAATATCGGAAAAAAATACGGAAAGAATATATAAAAAATAATTTTTAAATAAGCCATGTTTGGAATTCCGCCATCTTTCGAATTTGACAGCTCGCGTCACGCACACTTAAGCTTCTTTCAGAACCTCGCAACTAGTGGAATAAATTAGTGATTTCAATTACACTTACATTTGGCTCTATCAGTGGCGTGATGTTTTTTTTATCAAAAATTGATTGGGACTGCCTCAGACCAATTTTCCATTATAACTAGTTTTGCCTGAGGTCTAACTGAGGGTAACTCTAATTTCACAATCGAAAGCGCCAACAAATAAGAAAATATAGGTATTTTTGTAATAATCTACTTATAACTAAAAGTATCTAAATACGCTACTGTAAGCATGGTTAAAGGTAAAAGAAACGTAATGACTCTTACCGTCAAAATATCAATTCCGGGTTAGAATAGTCCACCTTTTTACAAACTATGCACTGGCGAACCACCGTAGATAGTTAAAAACTACTTTAAATAGTTTTCTTTGCAATAAACACTAATAATTATTAGAAAGTTGTTCAAATGCTACAAAAACTTTCAACTACCGCAGAAAACTCACAAACGCGCGCTGTCAAATATAAGTTGAATGAAAACAAATGAAAACGTCAAATGTCAGCGTAATTCCTACAGATTTCGACAATTTCATAGTAAAGATGAATCCACAGCGATGCCGCTAGTTGTCATTGTAATTTCCCTAATATAATTTAATTATAATTTCAAAGGTATAATCCTGGGGCACAATCTATGTATATTAATTAAAGTTATATACCTATACAAATATTTAGTTTAACGTTTCTGTAGGTACCCAAAAAATATTAATAACAATAATAACATTTGGAACTCGAACCGTATTCTATCACATACCGCGTAAATCTGTCATCATCGATTTTTGCGGAACACGATTCATGATCGCGATAAAATGTGAATTGTTTTGTCTCCCTTTATTTAGATGTCTTTGGTTGTATCCATAGAAAAAGCCCATGGTACAAAGAATACAAGGTATGATATTGCGCAGGTTGGTCGCTACGTCACAGGTGATAACAGGCGCTATTGGTCAGCACGCTCCGCGCGCCAGTTCAAATCGTCAAGATATTGTTATAAACCTCTTTTTTTTGTTTATATACCGTCATTGAATTATCGCTAAGCAAGTTACTGTGGAGCAGTGCATAAGGAGTCGGGCTAGGAAGCGAGAGACCGGAGTTCGAATCTCGGCCGGAACATCACTTTTTATTTATTTTTTTAAATACTATTGTATTCTATAGTTTATTTTTGTAGTATAAAAAAAAAGAACTATTTATTCTGTTATTTTTTAATCTCCGTTATTAATATAAATTGATTGTTAGTACAATACCTCATTTAATATAAAATAATATTCTACTTTTTGAAATGTATCGGGCCCTATTGTACCTAAAAGTAATATATTTTTAGTGATATACCATATTGTAAATTATTTAATATTTCAGTCACTTAAAAAGTTAATTTGCATTGAATAATTGCCTACCATTAAAGGAAATTTGAGCTATATAACCCTTTGATGGGCATATTCTGGGTATGCAAATACTTCCTTTAAATTTTGGGTGTCGTTCAACCGATTTATTCTCAAAACCAGAAACATCTACATATAAAAAGAAGCACAGGTCACTAATTATAATAAACTTCACCCTTGGTATTACTCCCACTAATTATAATAAACTTCACCCTTGGAATTACTTCTATCACAATTACAATACGTTTATCTGCATTGGCATTTTCTACTTTTCGATGGGAAACAATAAACTTCCCAACATTTTTTAAATGATGTAACAATTCCTCTTGTGGTTACTTTTCCATAGATATCCTCATCTCTGTCCTCATGTGAATTCAGAGGCAATAAAAATGAAAATTATTTACCATAAACATCGCAAACTAAAAACCTAATAAACAATTTTATACCGAATATAGAAATAAATGCAGTATTTTTACCTATTATCGTCCAAATCCATGTTAATAGATAATTATTATTTTTAAATATATTTTTGGAACTGCTGGTTTTAGTAATTATTAAATTAAACGAACTAAAAAGTCATAAAAATAAACAATTCTTAACCATAACCCCAAAAATGCAGATCTCCTGTCAACTTTCTTTATTTTTTATTTATTCATTATTTTCCTAGTGACGTCACAGGTGGTATGCGCGAACTGAACGAAATTGGAGCCGCTATCGATCATACCTTGTATTCTTTGTACCATGGAAAAAGCCTAATATTTAGCTTATCATCAACATTTGATTCTAACCACAATTTCTCTTGACGGAAGATAATCAGAGGCCAAAATAACATTTCTCGCAAATTTTGAGGAATAATTAATGAAAAAGTTAAAAGTTTGATAACTTTTTCTACTAATTGAAAATGTCTACCACTAATTTTGACGTTCTGAATGCTTACATTGAAATTAAAGGAACAATATTCTACCCTAATTGAAGCCACGAATTTATTCTACTAATTGGGAGGTTCTGAATAAAGCTTTATGTTTATT